CTTCAGTAATTTCTTCAATAGTTCTTGTTCAGGGTGTGATAGACTTGGGTTCAATCCCATCAGCATTGGCTGGAAATGATCCAAACCCATTATTTTACCTCCTAAGAATGGGCTCCAACAATCTGGCAGCTGGATGTTCTGTCATAGACACAAGACACCATCCTTTCCTGGTGAAATTGTTCTACTGTGTAGAAAAGAAGGCTCTTTTTGCTAAAAAGAAGAAGCAAAAAAAGCTGTGATGTTTAGTCCAGGGCACTCCCTTGAGAGAAGGGAAACTTGATTCCAATCCTGGCTCCAAGGACTATTGTATGTTGTCAATGGACAATTCAGTGTTAAAATGCAAATAATCTTTAAAGTAGGAACTGGAACCCAGGTTTCCCATCCCCCAGATGAGTACCCAAGTTGCCTCTTGTTTCCTGCCTCTGACCCAAAATATCTTGAATTCTCTCTTTCTTAGAGGGACACTTCAACAGTAGAGGTAGAGAGTGGTATGGTCTGGGGCCAGCACCAACAATCATTGGTTGTTGGCACTGGCCCTGAGACCTTACTGGGGCCAGTTTGAGATCTTGGTGTGATCACAGGCTGGAGCTGATTGTTGACCCCAGACCTGTGGGCACTCAATGTTCAACTTGCCAGGGCTGGGGGAGCTCAGGATCATGCTCCTTTCAAGTAGAAGGGAAGAGCTGGGATCTGTTCTCTGATCCTAAAATGCTCTTCCTGGTAGGCACATTGGAAGGAGGCAGGATTATTTGGATCATGGATCAAATCCCATCGTGTCTTTGTCAATGCATGTCAGGGGCCCCAGGGAAAGGGGTTCTGCTTGCAGGCACATGAGAAAAGTATTGTTCAAAGTTGAAAATTAAATTGCTTTCAGATTCCTTAGAATGGTAAAATTAACATTAGGAACTTAGGAGATTAGTGGGGGAGGCACTGAGGGCCCAAAAGGTAGAGGATATGGGACTCCACAAGGGATGGTCGTACCTTAAGGGGACGATCCTCCAGGCTCAGTGTGACAGTCCCCAAGAAAAAGAAGGGGGGTAAGAGTGCTCTGAAACCCCCATGGCTCAGCAAAGGCATTCGAGAATGCCTGAGGGCTAAAAGGGTAGCATACACCTGGTGGAAGGGAGGGGCTATCACCAAGGAGGAATACTCCTCCTTGGCCTGTGAGTGTAGGAGGGCCATTAGGAAGGCCAAGGTGGGGATAGAGCTCAGGCTAGTGACCAGGGTTAAGGACAACAAAATGTCCTTCTTCAAATACTTTGGGAGTATGAAGAGGGCACCGGGTAATGTAGGAGCCCAGCGGGACTCAAATGGTAATCTTGTGGCTACGCCAGATGAGAAAGCCGAAATTTTTAACAAGTTCTTTGCCTCCATTTTCTTGGACAAGGACCAGGACAGCTGTCCCACCACAGGTAGGGGCAATCTTGGGGATGGCACTGCCAGGCCTCAGGTCTGCACAGAATTAGTTAGGGATCTTCTGGAAGGGCTAGATGTTTTTAAATCTGTGGGCCCTGATGCCCTCCACCCACGGGTGCTGAGAGAGCTGGTGGGGGTCATTATTGTGCCCTTGGCCCGGCTGTACGAGTGATCGTGATCCATGGGCCAGGTGCCCGGAGACTGGAAACTAGCTAACGTGGTCCCCATTCATAGGAAAGGGAGAAAGGAGGACCCAGGAAACTATAGGCCCATAAGCCTCACATCAGTCTTGGGGAAAATCCTTGAAAAAATTATCAAGGAACACATCTGTGTGGGGCCAGCAGGGGAGATCATACCCAGGGGAAATCAACATGGGTTCATCAAAGGCAGGTCCTGCCAGACCAACCCAATGGCCTTTTATGACCAGGTAACTAAATCCTTGGATGATGGTGTCACCGTTGACGTAGTCTTTCTGGACTTTAAGAAGGCCTTTGTCACTGTCTCTCACCCCATTCTCATTCATAAATTGAGCGACTGTGAAATTGATGCCTACACAGTTGGATGAGTCAAAAATTGGCTGATGGGGCACACCCACAGGGTGGTGGTGGACGGGTCATACTCGACCTGGCAGGATGTGAATAGTGGGGTCCCCCAGGGCTCGGTCCTGGGGCCTATACTGTTCAACATCTTCATCAGTGACTTGGACGAGGGGGTGGAAAACACGTTGTCCAAGTTTGCCGATGACACCAAGATGTGGGGAAAGGTAGGCATGCTCGAAGGGAGAGAGAGGCTGCAATTAGATTTAGACAGACTACAGAAGTGGGCGGACTGGAACAGGATGGGACTCAATGTAGATAAATGCAGGGTGCTGCACCTGGGGAGAAGGAATCCACAGCATACATACAAGCTGAGGAGCTCCCCCCTTGTGAGCACAGAGGCAGAAAGGGATCTTGGACTCATTACTGACTCCAAGATGAACATG